AGATAAAGAGCCAAGATTAGAGTCTACCTCATCCTTGTTTGCCATGAGACAGATAATAGCCTTTTCCTCATCGCTTTCGGAATCGTTTGAGTCATCATATTCCCAAGTCTCCTCTTTATAAATAAGACAATCAGCCTTGAAGTGTCCCAGTTTTCTGCAATGAAAATAGGTAGGAGTGTCTCGTTTACTTTGTTCATTAGATGATTCACCCTTTTTGAATCTTCCCTTATTAAATTTCTTCCTATGAAGAAATCTTTTGAACGATTGAGTAATAAGGGCTAGATCATCATTTTCACTTTCGTTGTCGGCAACTTCCTTTTCTGTTTAAGAATATTTGAGAGCGATTTCTTTCTTTCGATGATAATCTCCTTCTCTATCTTTTAGAGTGATCTCCCATGTGAGAAGAGAGCCAAGAAGTTCATCCAGCTCAAATGTGTTGAGGTTGTGAGCCTCCTTAATAGCTGTGGCTTTTGCATCCCATTTTTCAGGTAAGCTTCTTAGAATTTTCCTTGCAAGATTAGAGTTAGTAATAGTTCTACCAAGATGCTTTAAGCCATTTATAATGTCAGTAAATCTTACAAACATTGCAATAATAGACTCATTTTCATTCATGCGAAACAGTTCATATTGATGCATGAAGATGTCAATTTTGGATTCCTTAACTTGTGATGTCCCTTCATAAATAATCTGAAGTTTATCCCAGATTTCTTTAGCTGTGGTACACGTGGAGACTCTATTGAACTCACTAGGGCTTATGGCACACTTTAGATTAACTTTGGCTTTAGCATTTACGGAAATGAGTTTATAATCCTCGGTGTCCCATTCAACTTTAGTTTTAGGGACACTTCTTATGTCAACAACTTTCATTGGAACAAAGGGTCCATTAACAATAACCAACCAAATTTGATAGTCTATGGATTGAAGGAAGTCTATCATTCTATTTTTCCAATAACCATAGTTTGTTCCATCGAACCAAGGGGGTCTAGAATTAGATTGACCTTCTTGGTGAAAGTGACCATTTAATTTGCCATGATCGTTCTCTAATACACTTAAGTCTTTTAGAGATTAGGCTCTGATACCAATTGTTGCCCAAGTATTGACTCTAGAGGGGGGTGAATAGAGTCTTAGCAAACAATGGTCAATTTTTTGATTTCAATTGATGTGTAATAGCAAGGCTAATTTCTCAACAATAATTTAACAAAGCAATTTGAAATTAAGGTTACACCTACCAGCAATAACAAGAGATTAATTTAAATGAACTTGAAGCAATAAATGTACAAGATAAAGAGGGAGATTGCAAACAAGTACTCAGTGATTTTTGTGAGGTTCAGAAACTCCTACTCTTTGACTTAAAACCCCTTTTGAGACTTCCCAATCCACTATAGCTTCTCCTTTCGGGTGGAAAGCAAACCTTTTATAAGAAACCCTTCCTTGCTTCTAAATGCGAAGAGAGACTCTTTCTCTTAGTCTACCTTGGGCCACACCAGCCCTTACAAGAATTGAAGAAGATATACAAAGTACAAGATGATCTCTCTCAGATTTGAAGTACAAGGTTCAGCTCACTCTAGAGTATGTATGAATAACTTGAAGCTCAATACCCTTTCAAGATATGAAGTATGTGTATGATGATAAGAAGGTTCTAAGATTACAAGAATATGTTTCTCAATAAATGCAATTCCTTTTTATGAAGACCACAAGTCATTATATAGAGTTTCAGATGAGTCTGATAGGTATTCTAGCTGTTGGACACACACTTCGAGGAAAAATAGCCGTTCAAAATTTGAATTCTCGCTGGTTCGGTCGTCCAACATAAAACACTATTGCGGTTCGGTTGACCGAAACTGCTTGAGGTTGGCTATCATACTTATTTCGGTAGACCGAAGAATTCTTTCTTTTGTTTCAATCAATTGAAACTCCTTCATCCTTCGTTCAAAACATTCTGTGAGAATTGGCTCCTCCGATACATTTAGCTCCTTAGTTTTGGTCGTCTGAAACTCTTAGAGAAACTTTTCATTTTCTTAGTTCGGTAGACCGAACTGAGTTGGTCCTGTATTTCGGTAGACTGAAATACCTTAGAAGCTATGATTCAGACTCATTGATAGAACCGGTTGACCTGTTTAAATTATCCTTCCATTTCGATCGACCGAAATGGAACTTAAATTCTAAGAGCATGTTTTGGTGATCTTTAAACTTGGTCCAATGATCCCTAACCTTAATGAATGAGTTTCTATACATGATTTTGAGAATGTGAGCTTCAAGATGTTCATACATGCTTTAGCAAGGTTTCCTAAAAAGCTCACCATCCTAGCTAATCCCATTTGATGAGATGTTAAAGACTTGTCTTTGAGTCTTGATTCCTTTGACTTTTTCTCATGCCTTCATGATGTTTCTTCATTTTTGCTTTTCAGTGTAATGTCTTGTCTTGATGAATGCTTAGATCTGTAATTTTACTCAAGGAAGACATTAGTACGTATAGAACATCATTAATGAATTATGATCATCAAAAGCCTTAGATTCAAGGTCAATAATATCTTCTATGAAGGGTGAGTGAACTATTCAAGTCGATGATCGATTATCCTCAGTCATCACGGGGTGCACCTTTTGGGCCAACTACTATTTCCCTGTGTCTCTCGGGTCATGAGTACTTACTTCTAACTAGCGCAAATCATCAAACACCTTGTCTACAGTTGACTCTTTCTGCCATAATGGAACAGCTTCAATGTGTTCTATCTCTTCCTTCGGTTTAAGTATTCTGTGCTAAGGGTCCAGATGGAAGGATCTTGCTCTTTATACCACCGGTTGACGTTCGTTAGCTCCACTCGCTTATCTGTAACTGGTGGACGAGGGAGCAGTGGAGTGTCTCTCCATTCTATTCTGGATCTCAACTTGGCGTTTTCCCGTTGTAGAGTCTCTATGATCTGCATCTGGTCATTATGCCTGACTCGTTGGTCCTCTTCCTGCTAGCGGGAGCCTTCCTCTCCGATCATAGTTCCTTATTAAAGTCATGTCATTCGTTGCTAAAATTAATGAATCTTTCAGTCATTCTCACAGACGGCGCCAGATGAAGATGCAAAAAAATGCCGTTCTATATTAGGAAAAGATTTTCTCATACTCCAACAATCTGTCTCTATTTCCTTTTCTAACTTCTATTTATAGAAGTTTACACTTGCCCTAATTTTTTGTATTCTGCCCCTAGGTTGTAGGTTGACGAGGCTTCCTTCTTCATGAGACGATCCGTCTATACCAAACAGGCCCTAGCCAAGGCTTGTTTTCATTATTTTTTACTAAATACAGTTTGAGCCTGAACTATGGACCTCATGGATGATGAGCAGCCCAGTCGGTCAGGTTTGTTAGGCTGCACCTAGCTTAGCCAGGCTCGTTCACATCTCCCAACACTTCAGAAGCATGTGGTCAACTCCTCATTTATTGATCCCAATGAACTATCCAACCACAGTGCAAAATTCGTTAACCCTTGGAAGCCATTCTTTTCCTTGTCCTTCGAGCACACGACCACACCACTACTTTGGTAATAGTTGTGTCCAATCCCTCTATTGAGAACCTGTTTGCCATCATCATCTTGTCTTCTATATGATTCTTTCATACCACTTTTTTCTTTGTTTGCCAAATTCTTTTCTTAAAGAGGTTCCACCTCTTTCTCTTTCAAATTGTCTTCAACTATAGGTGCAGTAATTTTTTTTTTCCTCACAACCAATTTCTTTTTTGACTAAGTTGAATTCCTTAACTTTATAACTTCAACTGCAATAGGAGTAACAATTAGATTTTGCTCATAATTAATTTCTTGAAAAATACTAGTTGCTCCAAAAAAATCATCTCTATTTCTTTTTCTTGTTGACATATTGAGTCTTTTTCTTGCAATCTTGATATTGGTTGTACAACATATGCTGATAACTTAGTGGTAAAAATTTAGCAATCAACAACCTTTTCATCTTTGGCCATGATTGTACAGGTTGTTTTTCTTGCCACCTCCGGTTACTTTTTACCTATTTCCACCAAGCCGAAGCACCTTTCTTAAGCATGATTGCTACAAGAGGAACTTGCTTGTGTTCGGGTATGTCAAAATACACAAAAAAAAATACTTAACTTCATTTAGCCAATCTAAGACATCCTCAGCACAAAAACTAGATGTAAAAGTAAGTAAATGGAATTTTTTCTGAAACTTACGATTGTTTGGATATCTATAGTTTATGTCACCTCGATTGACCACAACTTCTCTAAATCTAAACTTCTCATCATTGAAAGAATTCACATAGGCTGGAGGCCTACGTATATCTGAACAAAACTCATGCTCGGCTGGCTGCGAGACACATCATTAATGCGAACATGAACTGAACCACAAACTTGGTTGCCACCAATTCCAAAACTAGTTGCTACGAACCGATCTTGAGTATGCATGGCTGCCCAAGGGGGTTGCACTCCCCGATCAATGTCGCAAGAGTGGTTGCTGCCAAAAGAATACCAACTGACATAGTGGAAGCGATAAAAATGTTCACATGAAACGAGGGTTATCTTGAATCCACAAGATATAATACCTTGAATCCACAAGGTAGTAACTTTGAATCCACAAAGTTGAAAAATTTACGAAGGAATGTGATATTTTATTGATAAAATTGATTGATTAGTATCTCTCCTATTGCAATACATGTTTTTATAATAAAATAAAATCCTAAAACTTTAAAGGAAATTAATTCCTAAAGAAAAATTTAAAAAAACAAGGAAACAAAACTAAAAATATAAAGAAATTAACTAAAACTAAAAACTCTCTAAAAATATAAAATAAAAATAAACAAGTAAACGTAATTAAAAAATTACTAAAATCTGTCCTATATCATTTTTATTGATTCGTTTGCGTTACCTTATATTGAAATATCATAAACAGGCATGAAGAAGAGTTCATCAAGAAAATTGTTGAAAAAATTTTGAGTGTATTGAATGACACGCACTTACATGTAGCTACCCACCAAGCTGGAATACATTCTCGTATGGAATACATGAATTCTCTATTGAATGTTGGAACTAAGGATGTACGCATGGTAGCAATATGTGGGATGGGTGGACTAGGCAAGACAACAATTGCCAAAGCTGTTTTTAACCATGTATTCCACAGTTTTGAATACAAAAGTTTTCTGGCAAATGTTAGAGAGAATTCAAAGCAAGATAAAGAACAAATTTGTCTACAAAAGCAATTTCTTTTCGATATATTGAAGACAGAAGTCAGAGAGGTGAGCAGTGTTGATCGAGGAATCAAGGTGCTAAAAGATAGGCTTTGCAATAAAAGGGTTCTTCTTGTTCTTGATGATGTGGATGAATTGCACCAACTCATTGCGTTTAATTGCCACTCAGATAGTGCTAGAAAAGATTGCTTTGGTCCAGGAAGTAGAATCATCATAACAACAAGACACATACATTTGCTAGAAAATATTGACGTAGATGAAAATTATATGGTTGAGGAATTGAATGGAAAATGAATCTCTTCGGCTCTTTATTTGGCATGCCTTCGAAAGAAGTGATCCTGTGGAAGGTTATGCTCAACTCTCAAAAGATGTTGTAGGGTACTTCAAAGGATTGCCCTTAGGCCTTGAAGTTTTGGGTTCATATCTGAGAGAGTTCAAAAGCGTAGCTGAATGGAAAAACGCATTGGAGAAATTGGGAAAAGCTCCTCATAGTAAAATTCAAGAGCAGCTTAGGATAAGTTTCGATGCATTGGATCGTTATGAAAAAAAGATATTTCTTGATATTGCATGTTTCTTTATTGGAATGGATAAATACTACGTCACAAAAATACTAGATGGCTGTGAATTTTTCGCGACAAGTGGTATTGGTGTCCTCACTCGACGGTGCCTTCTAAAAATAAACCATGATGACAAGCTGATGATGCATGATCTGCTCAGAGACATGGGAAGAGAAATTGTTTGTCAAGAATCTAGTGACAACTGTGGGCAACGTAGCAGATTGTGGCATTGTGAGGATGTTCTTGATGTATTAACAAATTCCTTGGTAAGAGTTGAAGGAATGAACTTGTTTTCAGGAATAATTTTTTAGTCGAAGAAATTAACCAATGCAATTTGAATTATATTAACTTAAGTGCTTGTGCTTTTTAATGTTTACCAAGTGTTCTATTTTTTATCAGGGAACAAACCAAATTGAAGGCCTTGCCTTAAATATGGATGGACCAGTAAAATTAACTTTGACAGCTGAAGCATTTGCAAGGACGCAAAATGTAAGATTGCTACAACTCAATTATGTACCCATCACTGGAGGCTATGAACATTTTTCTAAAAAATTGAGATGGCTATGTTGGCATGGATTCCCTTTGAATTCTATACCAAAAAACTTTTATCAAGAGAAATTAGTTGCTTTTGACATGCAGTACAGCAACCTGAGACAAGTATGGAAGGATAACAAGGTACACTTAGGACTTTGAATTGATTACTTATATATTGTTAACATTTCCTTTTTCTCTATTTGAACAGTATATGTCTGAACTATCTATCTTTTAATTTTCAACAGGTTATTGGAAAGTTGAAAATCCTTGATCTAAGTCATTCCCATTTGCTAACTAGAATCACTACTGACTTCTCAACACTCCCAAACCTTGAGAAATTGATACTGGAAGATTGTAGAGGTTTGAAAACGATTGATGAATCCATTGGATGTTTAGATCAACTCGTATTACTCAACCTAAAAGACTGTACAAACCTTAGGAATCTCCCGACGAGCATTTGTATGTTGAAATCTCTTGAAATTCTTGAGCTCTCTGGCTGCTTGGAATTAAACAAATTTCCGGAGGACATAGGGGATATTGAGTCATTGACTATGCTTCTTGCTGACAGGATTGCGATAAGACGTACAAATGCCTGCTTCCATAGTGCGTTTAAAGAACCTTCGGTATTTATCTCTGTCTGTCAGTAAGGGATCACCATCCAAATCACTGATTTCACTCTTTTTGTCGTGGGTGTCACCAATTAAATACTCTGAATATTCCACGAGCTTATTGCCGGCGTCATTGTCGAAATTAACCTCTCTAACGAGCTTGTCCCTCAGAAGTTGCAATATATCAGAGGGGGCAATTCCAGAAGACCTTGGGAGTCTATGTTCTTTACAAAATTTGTGTTTGGATGACAACAATTTCATCAGCCTACCAACTAGCATCAGCAGACTTTCCAAGCTCCGTAGTCTCATGTTATCGAATTGTACAATGCTCCAATCAGTTCCGGAGCTTCCTTCAAGCCTGGCTTTCTTTTCTGCTTCAAACAATACGTCCTTGGAAAGATTGCCAGATCTATCAAACTTTTCTCTTGCCCCCATAATGGTTCTACTTAATTGCAGCAAACTAGCTGAGTTCCCATTCACGAAAAATCACCTACAGGTCTCTCTCTCTCTCTCTCTCAACTTTGATGTATATATTTTTGTGTGTCTAGCTCACACATTATATATCCTTCTAAATGTACAGGGATGGTATGAGACATATTGGGGTAATAATCTCGTTGGAATTTTATTAACCTGGTCTGAAATTCCTGAATGGTTCGTTTACCGTGGGACGGGAAGTATGCTGTCATTTCAAGCGCCTCCAGATGCTATGTGGGAGGGTGTGGGTGGCTTTATTCTATGCATGATATATGCAGCACATGATTTCGAACTAATAAGAGAATCGCAGTTTATTGTTTTAGTAATGTAACCAAGAGTATTATGGTCCCCTGTATTATTAATCCAATTTATCCTGCACCACCCACCCCACAAGGAGGAGCATACTCTTTCTGGGAGATTTCAGTAAATGATGGTGATGGTGATAGAAACAATGATGATCGATAATGATTTAATTGTTAATGATTTGTGGTCTTTATGATTTGTGATGTATATATTGAAATTGCCTGTAATAATTTTAGTAGAACTCCTTGTATATGTTTCCACATGCTATGTGTGTGTGTGTTGTGTGTGCAATGGTTCTGTCAGGTGTAAACTTATTATTGCAGTAGTATTGAAGTGAATAAAATTCTCAGTTGAGGACTGATCACTTTTCATCAGTTAAATTGTCATACACGTTCAGGTTGTGATAGAAGAATCTTGTAAAATGGGTTTAAGATTTAACTACAAAATTTGGAAGGTGTTTGATTGTGGTTACTCCAACAAGCCCTGGCCATATGAGCTAACCTCTTGCTTGGTAGCGTAATTTACAGTTCAAGAACTCAAGGAAAGGCAGGCCAGGAAGTGATATAGGACAGAATTCTAAACAATTCTACAAGTCCCTTTTTGACCAGAATGGAGTGTTTTTTTGGGTGGCAACGACCCATTGGAAAACCCATTAGTTTTAGCTTATGGGCCCTTCGTTTAGTGCTCCAAAATTGCATTTTATTGTCTTAGATAAGGTCTGTTAAATATTTTAAGGTTTTTGTTCAAGACCTTAATGAAGTCGGAAGGATCTAAGATTTTATATTTAGTATTTTTTATTGATTAGGATTTTTATTTTTATTTTTGTTAGAAAGAAAATATTTTTAGACTCATTTCTAAGATTAGTTTCCTTATGTTTTTAGTTTCCTTCTATTGTTCAGTTTTCTCTAGTATAAATATACATATACTGCAAGAGCAAAATATAACTTTTGACTCATAATATTTCAGATTGCTATGCAATTCTTATTCAACTTTGTGGATTCAAAGTTATCCTACCTTGTAGATCTAAAGTAACCTTGTTCCTTATGAACAATTTCACAACCTCCGCTTACGTCAGTTAGTATCAGAGCCTTGATCTACCTTGGGCTGATGAGTGGCAACTAGGTTCATGGTTCAGTTCGAATTCGCAGATGATGTGTCTCGCAACCAACTGAACATGGGTTATGTTTCTCTATATCCATGTAGGCTTCCATCCTAGCTATATATATATATATATATATATATATATTTTCTTCTATAATGATCATTAATTACTTAAATCATATATACATATATATCTATATATATATATTTCCTTCTATAATGATCATTAATTACTTAAATCATATATACATATATATCAATAAATAAATATATATATATATATATATATACACACACACACACATATATTTCCTTCCATAAATATCATTAATTAATTATATCTATCTATCTATATATATAATTAAGCAAAAATAATCATTTAAATATCTTCATAACCACGGGTCCTTATTAATTAACCAACAAAGTTTCATCCAAGCCCAAGACCACAACCATTGGTCCAATTTTCCTTAAGCCCAATCCACTTCACTTAAATAAATAAAATAATTAAATTAAATCTATTAATTACATATAATTCACAATAAAATCACACAAACATAAATACACACATAGTCAAATAAACAATCCAATCATGACATTCTCATAAAGCAGACCATCATATCAATTCAACAAGTAAAATACGAAATATAAGTTAATTAAAATAAGACAATTAATCAAAACATCCAATTAAATAAAACAAATCATTTAAAATAAAATAAAAACAATTAATCCCAATAAACAATTTCTTTTAAATATAGGGGTATTACACGGGGTTACTACAAAAACACTCCTGATAGCTTTACCTAGTTGAGAGTGAAGGTTGGTCACCTTCTATGAGACTTCCGGCTGTCTCTAGAGCTCTCGATGACAAAATAGGATAAAGCATATACCTTAAAGTGTTGAGCCACATGCACAACATTCTCTGAAAGGGATATGTATGTGATAAGTCCGGTTTGTCCATATGGATTTGTTAATGCAAGGTTCCGTCCACTAACATTCTCAAGGAAGCTTTGATTTGTTTACACTAAGTAAAGGTTCAAGTGCGACGACACCTTTATTTATGTTCATAACTTTCCAAAATGCCCAATTATTAAGAATTTATTTTCAATCTCTATTTTGAAACAAGTACCAAAATTGTTGGAAAATGTTTCAAAATATTTTTATTATATTTTTGAAAATAAATATGTAAATAATTTAATTCCAATTATTTTGATTCATACCCCTTATAAAAATTATGTTTTAGATGAGTTCACACAAATATGATGTATTTAGATTGTTCATAAATCCACAATTAAAGGAGATGTTCTTACATGTATTCTGTAATAACCCCCACCCTACCCAGACACAAGATTGTCCGCTTTTGGCTTGCCCGGACCAGAGACTTCCTAAGAGGTCATCCATCCTGGTATTACTCCAGAGTAAGCACGCCTAACTTTGGAATTCTGATGGGTTCATGACCATCACGGCTATGCATCATGTCATAGAAGGGTATTGAACCTTACATATATCACTTTACCTTCCCTAAGCGATATAGGATCATAACACCCTGTAACCTACTAGTGTGGTAGCGAGTCCAGTGTCTCGCACTCGCCTATATCACACCCGCCATAGAGGTTATCACAATCACCCCCTGTGGCGACCCAACATCCTCGTTGGTCATACTTTCGGCTGGGCTCCAGCCCTGATACCATTTGTAATAACCCTCACCCTACCCAAAAATAATATTATCCGCTTTTTACTCCCCCGAACCACAGACTTCCCAGGAGGTCATGCATCCTTGTACTACTCCAAAGTAAGCACACTTAGCTTTAGAGTTCTAGTGGGTCATAGCTATTATGGCTTTAAAATGCGTTGTGTCATAGAAGGGTATTGAACCTTACATATAACACGTCACCTTCCCTAGGCGATGTTGGATCATAACACCTGTAGCCTGCCATTATATATCTCTCACCCGCCCACATCACACCCACCCACAAAGGTCGTCACATATTCGTACTACATTTTTGGTAGTATCATTAATTGAATCTATTTGATTCGCCTCCTTTTAGGATGAACCATTTTAAGTTCAATAATCTAATTAAAAGATACATATTGAGTAGTGTGAAACAAGAATGAATTTATCCAAATTCATTATCTTGGAAGATGAATTTTCTAAATTCATATATTTGAGATTTGAACACACTTATGAGGTTCATTTGAGAGATCTATTTAAGGACTGCACTTTCCTCATTAAAGCATGGATCAAGTTTAATCCCATCTCAAACTCAAGTTTTCTCTCCTCATATTTTAGAAGTTTTCTCTTCTAAATTTTCATATTTAGGCATTCTAAAAGGAGATTAAGTGCACCCTACAGTGTATCATGTAAATATACTGTGATTGGATCGAGTATAGGCTTGGTTGAATCCCAGAGATAGAGCTTCCATTATCCCTTACACTTGGGAGGATTCATCTATCTTTAAGAAGCGATTACGCACCTCCAACCTATGGTTCAGTTTTTTTTGAAAATTATATTTCCACCATAAGTGCAAGTTATTTTCATGATTTTTTAGAATCATTTTTCCAACAAAGAGGAGGAAAAAAGAAAAAAAAAAAAAAAAAAGAACCTCCCATCATTAATAAAGAAAAATATAGTTTTAATATAAAATTTTGAATTCACTAATTATTAAAAAAAATTAAAAATAAAAATCGGGCAAAGTCACAAAAATGACCCCTATTTCCTTTTTTCACTTTTGAAATGATAAAAAGAGTATTG